TTCACCTGGTTTTCTGAGTGACAGTGACACACAGCTATACTGGGATATTAAGGCATAACAGAAATGGGGGAAATCCAAAGAGTGAAAACCAATCACTGTGTTACAATCAAATAAAAATGTTGAATTTCCAATTATAATGTGCAACAAATGATATTTTATTACGATTTCAACAATATGAGGAAAACAAGCAATTGTGATATACTGTATTTGAATATTGCTGTGACGATATCAGTTGTGACGAACGCACATTTTTTCACACTGTTTTGTTTTTTATACTTGCGTCAACATGATGCTCACAACAGTTTTAGCATCGCAGTCACTGTCATCTAAAGTTGCTGCGAGCGTTTAGAGCAGCGGGAGGTCTCATAACATGATAAACAGCACCATCTATTTGTGACAATATAAAAATAAATATAGATAAATATTGTCAGAACTTATAGTTAAAGAATAATACTACTTTTAAAATTACTAATGTACCGATATCAGACTTTTTACAAGTACTCGTATACTTGTACGAAATGCCCTGATACTTGGAAACCATACTAATACCAGTATTGATACTGGGGTACTGGTATCAATACTGCATTCAATGTGTTATAATTTACATTTCAAAGGTGTCAGTTTGATGTTTAAGAAAGTTCTACAAGTTAAAAGAAAATCTTGTCATTTTAAAATGTAGCAACAATATATCATGTTATATATGCAATTGATGTATATAATTTGATGAAGCCTCATCAACGTTTAGGACCTCTGTTCTATGGTTTTGGTGACTGGGGATGGATAAAGAACCCATATGAGCGGGGAACCTCTGTCCTAAATAAAAGAAATGTGTTTTTAAAGTCACTGAGTAATGTTTAAGTTCTAACTCAGTAAGTACTCTATTGGTACTCAGTATCAAAGAGTACCCAAAATCACACCCGGTTTGAGAAAAACTGGTATTRGGACACCGCTACTTAAAAGTCTATAGAACAAAATATTTACAGGACTCAGACCAGCTGCAGAGGATTAAGTATGTGTGACAACTAAACACTTTGTCGTTTGTGCTTTCTGAAAATTTTTTGTCAGATACTCTGTTTTACTATAATTAAGGTTATGCAATTTGYTGTTTGTGCTACAGGTAGCGGTGTCCCAATATCAGCATTTTTACAAGTACTCATACAAAATGTCCAAATATTTGGGACAGATACCAATTCTAATATCTATAATGGCATTGATACCCCACTTAATGTGTTACAGTTTACAATAAAAGTTTGTCAGTTCCATGTTTAACAATTTTATACAAGTTGAAAGTAAATCTTATTTATTTTAATATTCTGCAACATATCATGCTTTGTTTGATTTGATACAGTTAGAGGGCTGTAGGCCTATAAAGGAGTGACACCTTGCTCTAAATAAAATTAATGTATTTTTTAAAGCATTGTGCAATGTCTACATTCTAACTCAGTAAGTACTCAGTATCGGTTCTCTGTATTGACGAGTACCCAAATGCAAGTGCTTGTACTCAGTTTGAGGAAAAACTGGTATTGGGACACCCCTAGCTTTGGTTAATTTAAATACATTTAACTTCATTTTTATTACTGCTACAATAATGTGTATGACTAGAAATGATAAAAAAGTGGCATTTTAAGGGCCAATAAGTGTTTCTCAGGCATATATTTAAAATCTATACCATAGTAAAGTATCTATGTCACCTTTAGCTGTTATTAAAATGCTGTTTTATGT